TATTTGCAGAAAGTCGTTTAGAAAAATCGAGGATTGCGTTTTGGAAACAGACAACACAAACAGAATTTAAAACTTTTCTCGGGCTTATATTCCAAATGAGGACAATTAAGATGAACCGTCTAAAGGACTACTGGAAAAGTATGGGTAACTTCTATAATAGATCTATCAGTAATTGACTTTACTAAACAATTACTGATAGTCCATATTAAGAAATAACCGAATAGACAATCCCCACTTGTCAAAGAAACTAAAAAAAAAAACGTAAAGTGGTCAGTATTTACAGTCCTGAAGGAATATGTGTGACCAAGTGCAGAGATAAACAAGACATAATTACTAATTAAATGGGAATAAGCCACAATTAAAGGTTAAAGTACGTTTATTGGCATTTCAATTTCCAATTCGGAAATCGTTCTCAAAATAGAAACGTACTTTCGTATTTTGCCGAAAAACCCTACATTATTTTGCAGTAATTTATAAATGTTAATACCTTCGTTTGTACATAATGGCATTTAATATAACTAATTTAAATTGGGGCAGATAATACGTTATTAATATATATAATAACGTTAATACGTTATAAACATCGAGGTATTGAACAAATTTAACACCGGCAGTGACCATAGACTAGTTCGTGCTGATATACGTATTAACGTAAAGAGAGAAAGACGAAAACTATTAACAACAAACCCTTTACCGACGGCAGACATCCTAGCCAGTAATAAAGAGAAATACCAAGAGGAATTAGCACGAAAACTAGTAGCAAATACCTTTGAGCACAAGAATATAGATGAACTAGCTGAGAAAATAACTAAAGACATACAAACAGTCACTAAGAAAACTCTGTTGCAGAATAAGAAAACAAAAGGAAGCTAAACTAAAACCCGAAACTCTAGAACAGATAGAGAAAAGAAGAAGAACGAACAGAGATAACCCGGACTATAAAGCGCTCAACAGAAGCGTTAAGAAAAATATTAAGACCTCAGAGTTTATAGAACAAACCAGATTCTTGAAACCATAGAAAATAATAAGAACATGAAAGTACTAAAAACATGTAAATCCGCTGGCAGGAATAAAATCATAAAGATAAAAGACGACCGTGGAACATTGTGAAGAAAGAGATCGTTAGAGAAATTCGAAAATTTTATGAGAAGCTGTATAGTTCTACTATTCCGAACCCCGGTTATACCAAAAAAACATATCTTAAATGTGGGCTCAGAGGACTTCCCTGAAATAATAACATCAGAAATTAGAGCCGCCCTAAAACAAATGAAAAATGGGAAAAACACCAGGAGAAGATAAAATGACTTCAGAGATGCTAAAAATGGGAGGCACTGCATTAGAAGAGGCAATAAGAGCATTACTTAATAAACGCCTATTGGAAGGACAAATACCGAACACATGGAAAAATGCGGAAGTCATTCTACTCCATAAAAAAGGGGACGCCGCAAATATAGAAAACTACCGACCAATAAGCTTATTGTCACACCTTTACAAACTACTAACCGAATAATAACAAATAGATTGACAGCTAAACTAGATGCATACCAACCAGTGGAGCAAGCAGGCTTTCGTAAGGGTTTTAGCACTATCGATCACTTGCAAACAATTCGGACCATTATTAAAAAAAACAATAGAGTACAACATACCACTACATCTGGCATTTGTTGATTATCACAAAGCATTCGACAGTATCGAGAATTGGGCTTTCTTAACAGCATTGGACGACGCCAGAGTAGATTCAAGATATGCTGCCCTCCTTAAGAATATATACGATGATGCTACTTTTCACGTAAAAATAGATGATGATCTGGAAACTAGAAAAATAGACCTTGGCAAAGGTGTGAGACAGGGCGACACCATCTCACCCAAGTTATTTACTTTGGCACTAGAAAATGTTTTCAAACAACTAAATTGGGCCGAAAATGGATTAAAAATAGATGGAGAATATCTTAACCATTTGCGTTTTGCAGACGACATAGTACTAATAAGCACAGATATCCATGAACTAAAATCAATGCTACAAGATTTAAATCACAAATCGAATCAAATAGGATTAAAAATGAATCTCGACAAAACAAAGATATTAAGCAACAGCCTAGAAAACATCACGATAGATAACATCAATATAGAAAAGGTAGAACAATATATTATACCTAGGACATGCAATTAAAAACGAAAAGGAAAATCAAACCCTAGAAATTAAAAGAAGGACACAAATATCATGGGCTGCTTTTGGTAAGTTGAGCTTCATTTTAAAAGACAGAAAAATCCCAATTCACTTAAAACGAAAAACCTATGACACTTGTATACTACCAGTTGCAACTTATGGATTGGAAACTATGGCAATAACAAGAAAAATGGCAGAAACTATTAAGAGTAAACTCAACGGGCCATGGAGAGGGCCATGTTAAATATAAGCCTCAGAGACAAAATTCCTAACACCGAAATACGTCAAAGAACTAAAGTAACCGACATCATGGAAAAAATAGCGACATTGAGATGGCAATGGGTAGCACATGTAGCAAGACAAGACACCAACAGATGGTCTCATAAAGTGACATTCTGGAGACCTCGAGAAACAAAAAGAAGCGTGGGAAGACCTAAAAAGAGATGGATAGACGATATAACTTCTGTAGCTGGAAAGCAGTGGATGAGAATTGCAAAAGATAGGGAAGCGTGGAAGCAATTGGAGGAGGCCTATGTCCAACATTGGATAAATGAAGGCTGAAGAAGAGAAGAAGAATACATTATTAAAGTGTGGTATATTTCACATAGATCACAAAGTTATCCAATTTGTTTATCCCAAAGAGCGATTATCTAAACGACTGTACTTGACCAGATAGTCACTCTGTACTCTCTATACACGTGTATTCTGTAAATCGAACTCGCTTTTATAAGAGTTCGTACTTTCAACGGAAAAATTTAGTAAGATAGGTCAAAATAGCACAATTCTTATTATTTGGTTGAGCTACCCTAGTAAAGAAATGAAGGTTCTACGTGCCACAGAAGCCGAGATATTAAATATTTTGCAAGCGTGCTTCAATTTAAAGTCCGAATCTAAAAAAAAAAACAAGCTCAGTCAGTTCTTACCTCCATGGTACTTTTCCGTGGCGGTAATTTACGAATACCATTATTTTAATGGGTTATAACATTTTACTCCTTTACTGTGTAAGCCATCTATAACTTCGATCATATATTATAGATCTTAATTCAAAATCTTTTCAATTTTTAGATCTTGTATTAATAAACAATAAAAATATGATTTTAAGAATTAAATGTTATCTTAGTTCTTATTGGTTAAATATGGTTCTGTTTTTGTCTCTTTGTTTTCTTATAAGCCATTAAGATTGCAAATTACAAAATACTTGTACATACAAGTATTGGACAAGTATTTGGACAAGTTCAAAGTGATTTGCTTACTATTTAGCACACCTTAAAAACCCATTAATTGCGATAATTTGAAGTAGCTATATTATCTGCCGTTTGGGCAAAAAATTCAATTATTATCATTTATAAATTACTAAAAACATAATATTTTAGAGTTTAGGGTTTTTTGCAATTACCTTGCTCAATTAATTATATATTTTAATTTGGTATCTCTCAACATAAAAAACCTTTTATGGTCTACAACTTTCATTTTAATCATTTTTCTTTAGAATGTAAAAAAACGTTTTACAAGCAAACATTTTTTTTTTGTATCTTTTAAGATTGTTAAAAAAAAAGAACAAAGCATAATCAACTGTACATCTTAGAGTATAGATACATATAGATACATATTAGAGTATAGATATAGTACAATAGTATCTCTCATACTATTTAGAATTTAAATAACCGTAGATTTTTGAAAACTATTTACCGAGGTTCTGTGAAATACTTTCTTGTTGCATGGTTAAGTTAAATATTATTTTTTTATGTATATTATGTATATAAAAAATGTAATATTAATTACATTTTTAATTAACTAATATTTATTGTTTATTGTACAAATTATCTAAAATGTGTATACACATTTTGTACAAAAAAACGTTTTTGAGAACGATTTTCGGAATGGAAATCAAAATGTCAAACACAAGTTAATTAAAAATGTGATTCTTATCACAATTACAACCAATAATTGAGGCGTAATCCCATAAAAACATAATATTTACCTCAAACTATTCACCGATAGCTTGGATTAAACAGGTTGTAAATTGAAATTTATGTAAAATATTCCCCTACACAATTCTCTGGGAAAAAATATCTACCTTAAATAAATATATCTAACATTTAGGCAAAGAAAAAAACCAGTTAAGACCGCAACGTGTTAGCAGGTCGTTAGCACGTTGACCGAAAACGGATCGATATTTATGTATAATAATAGTCTCCGTTTTATACCGCACGCGGCTTTGGGAGTATAGCAGGGTAGTCTGCTATATCTAGGGCCTACGGTATACAAGGATATTTATGTACCTAGATATTATTTTAAGTATTAATACCGGCAACATCTATTGGCTTTAAAATGATAGCAAATACAGTGATTTTAAATGATCGATGTTAAAACGTAGGATTGATGTAAAAAATTTAAATATATAAAAAAATCAGAATATTGAAAAACCGACAACGCTGCTAAGCAACAGAGGTGCACTAAACGAACATACACGACTTATATATAGAAAATAATAGATTTTCTTGGTGATGCTAAATTACTGCAACGTGAAACGAGTTTTAAAATGATGGCGGGATGTATATATATATATATATATATATATATACAAAAGGAACATTTTTATTCCCGAGAGAGGAAGAGAGAGAAAATATATCTTCTGTCTCTCTCTTACTCACTATCTTACATATGTAATGTTTTCACAGATTCACTCTCATGCAAATTTCCAACGCCGACCGTGCGTATAGAAGTATAACTTCAAAAATGTTTATTTCATTATAAGTTTAGGTTTTAACGTTGAAAACCCAATAGTTTTATTGTGAAAAGTATAAAACTTAAAAAAAAAACGAATTTTCAGAGTTTCAGTGGAGGCTGGACCATCACCAACAGTCAGTAAAACACAGATCATTACAGCTGGTGCAAGGCCAACCATCAGCACAACTCCAACAAGTCAAGATGATAACGTTTTTGACATCTTCAATATGCCGATAGTATTGTCAGACCAAATATTAACTCCGGAGAGTATAGAAAGCATGCCGATTGTAATTGATAATAATGCATCAGCTAATGCACGTACGCAATCTAGTACAATACAATCTAGTACATTGACACCTACAACGAAATTAACGCTCCCTAAATCTACTACTGGATATACCCGCACCATCATCCCCACGAAGACAGTAACCCAACCCCAAAAAATTATAGCTAAGCCCAAGATATTACAATCTGCGACTGTGAAACAGCCGGTATCACAAGGAAAGGTTCTTCCGGCCGGTGTTTTACCTCGCGGTGCAAAGCCCGGAACTTACTTTTTCCTTAGCCAGGGTGCGCCTGGTTCACCGCAGCAAAAGTTGATTGCAAAGAAGACAATAGTGAAAAGAACTGTTCCGATTGCCAACATTGCTTCTAAGTTTCCAGAAGGAACTGGAAATAAAGTTATGATCGTTACGGATCAACAGGGACAACAACAAAGGTTTGTATCTTTTTTACTATTCGGCATTGTAAAACTTAAATTGTCTCCTTTTATATTTTATTTATTGAGCTTAACAGGTCTTGTGGGTTTAAGGCTTACAAAAATACCTCTACCATAATGTTAGTAAATTGTTACTTTTCATTACTTTTATACTCTTGGCATGCATTCTGTCACCACTTTCTTCCATTATCTTCTATCTACTGTCTTTTCTTTCCAATCACCAACGTGGTCTGTCTTTCCTCCGCTTTTGTATTGGTTTTCAGGAAAACATAATTTTCGTCATTTTTTAATCTTCTGGTCTTTCTATGTGTCCCACAAAACGGTTCTTCTTCACTATCCTTCTATTCTCACACCTCCATATATTGGTCTAACGATTTTTCTTTCTCCTATCTCGAAAAGATGTGTTTCTGATGTTTTCAACGCCCATGTTGAGACATAATTTTAGAAATGGTAGTGAACCCTACTTCATCTACAGCCCAAGTTGCATCTATCTATGGAATCAGTCAAAAGACAGTACACAGAGTGTTGGTTGAAAACAATTTGTTTTTAGTGACGAAAGTACTTTTTTTTCAATGGAAATGTTTAAACACACACAATGTGAGACATTAAATTGACACAAATCACGTCTTTCGTGAAACACATATTCAATTTCCAAAAAATAAATAAAGGTTTGGGCAGGTAATTTGGGAAACCACATAGTTGGGCCTGTTTTTCTTAATACTAACTTAACCGGTGAAGTGTATCTAGATGAAGCAATTGCTTCCCTAACAACCAATGCGAATATGCCGAACTACGGATTAAATATTACCCTTATCCCCATAGTCATGTTTATGTCTCACAGTTTTACTTGGCAATTCCAATTTTTTCATTACTTCATACGGTTGTTCATTTCTCTCTCTTCAATCCTGACCCCCCAGGGGGAGTGTTGTGGTCGACGTGATGTCGTGTATTGTCCGTCTCCAGAGATCTCTGTCTCTGGTCATTTCTTTTAATTCATGCATAGGTCTTTGGCATATTCCTGTAATTTGATCTATCCATCTTGTTGGGGATCTTCCTCGTGATCTTCGGCCTTCTACCTTTCCTTGTATTATGAGTCTTTCCATGTTTTCTGTGTTTGCTCTCATAACATGCCCAAAATATTTTAATTGTTGGAGATGGACTTTACTAGAGAGTCGTTGGCTAACTTTTAGCTCTCTTAAAATTGAATTATTTGTTCTACGGTCGGTCCAAGGAATTCGTAACATTCGTCTCCAACAGAACATTTCAGTGGCGTCTATCTTTCTTCTCTCCGATTGTCTCAGAGTCCAAGATTCACATCCGTAGGTCAGTATTGGGAATATTAAGCAGTTGATCAACCTCATCTTTATCGCTCTTGAAATTTGACAGTCCTTCCGTATTTTGGAAGGACATTAAGAACATAAGTTGTTTATTTACTCTATCGTAAACCTGTTTAAAATCAATGAAGAGCATGTTCAGGACAATTTTATGTTCCTAGCAATTAATTTGGTCCGTTATTGAGACATGTCGCTTCTGAACCCGGCCTGTTTTTTCCGTATTAACCTTTCATTGTACTTATTATTATTACAACTAACAACAATTGTGGTATTCTTCTTTTCAGAGTATTATTCAACCCAAATAACCAACGACTGTTAAGCTACTCAACCTTACAAGGATCAAAGATTGTGAAGAATGTGCTAAAGAGTAATTTAATACAGAAGAATATTTCATCTGTAATCAAAAATGAAGTAGGTCCGTCAAAGTCGCCGACTCACATTGTCCAAAAGGTTTTACCTACAAGTAATCAAATGATGTCCGTACCTTCAACGTCCCGCACTGTTAAAACTGTTGTAAGAAAAGTTTCCCCATCAACATCTAAACTGCCAACTACTGTCAAAAACTCTAAAACTATATTATTAACTGGGAAAAATGGACAGACAATAAAAAAGATTGCCGTTGCCGAAGATGATATTGATAAACAGGTAAATAAAGAAGAGTATTTTACACCATCAATATATTCATGAACCGAACTCAGTAGGTAGTTCATTCATCATATAAGAAATTAATTAATTAAAACTGTATTATGAAAACATTTTTTCTATCATATTTACTTAACCAAAAATTAACTTCATCTTTATCTGTATTGTCTAACATTATATAAGGGGTTTCCAGTGAAAAGAGTAATTTTAAAATTTGAGGGAAGTATTACAGGTTGCTGGTTTATTACTCACAATAGGAAAGTACTTCGCGTTTCTATAAAATACTCGCTGACCCTGAAGAGCTGCCACTAGAATAATTTAATAAAAAAATAAATGTTTCCGGCAACGGGATCCCATTGACGGTGGACTAGTATTAGTACAGACCAAACATAGCCTACATCCTTAGTCCTAACCATTCTTTGCCTTAGTTCTAAAACTGAGATGGTTATTGCAAAGGGATGTCTTCATTTTCATAAAAGTAGTTTTAGTCATTGCTATTCTACGTTTTATTTCCATGTCTGGATCTAGTTGGTCCGTTATCACAGTTCCCAAATATGTTATTTTGTGAACTTTCTCAACTTGGACTCCGTTCAATTGAAGCTTTGCATCGGGATGTGGATCACGACTAAACACTAAAAAATTTGGTTTTGTTTGAGTTTATTTTAATGTCCATTTCCTCTCCTACCTCGTGAATACGATCAAGCATAATTTGAAGACCTTCAATATTATCTGATAGAATTACTGTTTCGTCTGCATATCTAATCACATTAAGTAGTTCCCCGTTGATATTTGTTCCATATGGTTGTCTCTCAAGTGCCTTTTTAAATAGCTTCTTCTTCTTCTCGTGCCATCCTAGCTGAGATTGGAAATCATCATGGCCACTGCGACTTTGTTAGCAGCGCGCCTGAAAAGTTCAATAGAACTACATCCGAACCATTCACGTAGATTACGAAGCCACGATATTTTTCTTCTTCCCACACTTCTTTTGCCCTTAATTTTGCCCTGCATGATGTTTCTTAAAAGTTCGTACTTCTCACCTCTCACAATGTGCCCCAAGTATTCCATCTTTCTAGTTTTTATCTCATTTAGAATTTCGCATCTTTTGTCTAAAGTTTGGAGTACTTGCGTGTTAGTGACGCGGTCCATCCATGATATTCTGAGAATGCGCCTATAGCACCACATCTCGAAAGCTTCGATGTTTTTTATGGTCAACTGTTTTAGTGTCCAAGCCTCAACTCCATATAACAGGGTAGAAAAGACATAACACCGCAGCATTCGTATTCGTAACTTTATATTGATATCACGATTGCAAAAGAGTTTGCGCATTCTATTAAAGACTGATCTAGCGATTTCTATTCTACATCTAATCTCTTTTGTTTGATCAGTATCGTCTGTGATCCAAGCACCTAGATATTTATAACAGGGCACACGCTCAATCGTTGTATTGTCTATTACAAGATTAGCTCTGATGTTCTTTGATTTCGTGATTACCATAAATTTAGTTTTTTTCAAATTAATTTTCAAGCCGTAACTGTTACAGTATATATTGAGACTTTGAACGAGATGTTGTAGTTCTACTAGCGTTCCCGTTAGGAGAACTGTATCGTCAGCATACCTTATATTGTTGATCGTCTCACCATTTATTATCAGACCAAGATCTTCTTCCTCGAGTGCTTGTTCACAGATAGCTTCACTATACAGATTAAATAAAAGTGGCGACAAGACACATCCCTGCCGGACTCCTCGACGGATTTGAATTTCTTCTGTTAGTCTGCCCTCAACCTGACATTTGCTGTTTGATTCCAATATAGATTGCATATAATGATAAATAAAATAACTATACTGTCGAATTGTAAAAGTTTATTAAACAATAATTATTAGCCTGAGAAAACTGAAAATATTAATTAAACATGTGTAACCGTTATTACATATTAGAGAACATTGACATAACCTTAAAAACTTAATTCTTCTTTTTCTTATATCTTGAATATTACATTAGTACGGGAGCTTATATTAACACTCCCACTTATTCAAGATTTGAATACAAAGACCTAATACAAAAGACATGAAAGCAAAGATCTAATACAAATTAACAAATACATAATTTAAATTGACAAATTTAACTTATTCAATAAATTGTTAAAAACTGTCTTTGACAATGCTTTTGTAAACAAGTCCGCTAACTGATTACTTGTATTGACATAGCTTACACAGATATTCTTGTTTTCACATTCATCTCGAACAAAGTGAACCTTAATATCAATATGCTTTGTTCTGCTATGAAATTGTTGTGCCTGTGTTAGCTTAATGGCAGATTGATTATCAACAAAGATGTTGACAGGTGAGACATCAATTCCAATCTCTTTTAAAAAATTTCTAAGCCATAAAGCTTCTCTAACACCAAAAGCCAAGGACACATATTCGGCCTCTGTAGTTGACTGTGCCACTATGTTTTGTTTTTGGCTCTTCCAGGTAATAGGACCATTGCCTAGTATAAATACATATCCACTAGTAGATTTTCTTGTATCCAGGCAGCCAGCATAGTCTGCATCAGTGTAGCCTATTACCTTGATTTGTGTAGTTTTTCTGTACACAATTTTATAATGAGCAGTATATTTTAGATATCTAAAAATTCGTTTTACTGCTTTCCAATGTTCATCACTCCAAGCATTAAAGAATCTGCTCACCTGATTAACTGCAAATGTAATATCTGGGCGACTGGTGGTTGCCAGAAAGATTAGTGAACCAACAGCCTCACGATATGGCAAAGATTTATTACAATTTAAAATATTTCCTTTAGACAAAGGTACACTAGGCTCTGCAGGAATCTTTAATGGGTTAGCATTAGTCATATTAAATTTAACAAGAAGTTTTTCTATATAATTATGTTGATGAATAGCAATTGTACCTGCACTAAGATCTTGTTCAATCTCAAGTCCAACAAAATGTAATTTACTATTTAAATTTACAGTTATTTTAAATATTTGCTTTAAAGTTTCTAAAAGTTCATTAATAGCTCTTTCTGATTTTGACATGACAAGTCCATCATCAACATAAATTGCTAAATAAGTTTCAGAATTTGCAAAATTACCAACAAAAACACATTGATCACTTTTTAATTGTCTAAAGTCAAATTTATTAAGAAAGGATACAAACTTCTGGTTCCAGCACCGTGGTGATTGCTTAAGTCCATATAAGCTTTTATTCAATTTACACACTAAGTTGTGTGACTTCTTACTTTCAAAACCAGTTGGCTGCTTCATGTACACACACTCTGGTAGGTCACCATATAGGAATGCAGTCTGTACATCAAAATTAGCAAGTCTAAGGTCCTTTTCCACTGCTAACGATAACAAAATCCGCACTGAGTCATACCGCACAACCGGCGCGAAAGTGTCTTCATAGTCTATTCCACGTTCTTGCATAAAACCGCGTGCAACCAGACGTGCTTTATAACGAACAGGATTACCGTCTGAGTCAGTCTTAACACGATAAACCCACTTATTGTCTATCACTTTTGCACCATTGGGCAATTTCACCAAGTTCCATGTGTTATTAAACTTGAGGGCATCTATTTCCTCCTGCATTGCTTGTTGCCACTTGCTAGAGTCCTCACACTTTATTGCACTTTCATAACTTATGGGTTCAACTATGTCACAGTAGTTTGCTACACCATAATAGTCAGGCTTAGACAGTGTATTTCTGTTCCGTAGCTGTCTATCATTAAAATTATCATCATTGGCATCATAGAACAGATTACAATCAAAATCCTCATCATCATGATCTGTTGCTTGAGACCTACTACCTTGTGACATGTCTAAACTCTCTTCATTGTCACTTTCTTGAATAGCATACATATCATCATTGTCTCTTTCTTCATTATCATCTAAGAGTTCAAATTTTAATGTAAAAATTTCCTTCTTATTTTTAATTGTTTCATCTTCATTAAAATTTACATTGCAGCTCACTTCAATTCTTCTTTTCTCACAATCCCAAAGTCTATAATTTGATGAATATCCATCATATCCAACGAACAATAATTTTCTCGATTTTGAGTCAAACTTCTTACGAAACTGTGATGGTATCAACATGTAAGCTGTACTGCCAAAAACTCTGATGTGCTTTAAATCTGGTTTTCTCCCAAACCACTTTTCATATGGAGTCATGTTTTGCACTTGACTTGAAGCTGTTCGATTAAGAACATATACAGCAGTATTTACAGCTTCGGTCCACAATTCTTGTGACACATTTTTGTTGATAAGCATAGTTCTTGCACTTTCAACAATTGTCCTTAACTGCCTCTCACTGCGGCCATTTTGTTGAGGTGTATAAGGAGCTGAACATTCATGTAATATTCCATTCTTCCTGATAAAGTCCTGAAAGTCATTATTGATATATTCTCCTTTACCTTGGTCACTTCTTAAAATCTTAATCTTATTGCCAGTTTGATTTTCAATCAGTATTTTAAAATCTTTAAACTTGTTAAGAACATCTGACTTGTGCTTTAGAAAATAAACACTGCAGTAACCACTACAATCATCCTTAAATAAAACAAAATATTTTGATCCACTTGGAGAAGAAATGTTTACTGGTCCACATACATCTGTGTGAATCATTTCACCTGGTTTGTCTGATCTGCTTCTTGTAAGACTTTTATGGGTCTTTCTTGACTGCTTCCCATACTGGCATGTCTCACAGAAAAATTCTTCTTTGTTGTCAACTCTCATATTGTCAACCAAATTAGCTGTTTTCTTAATTGTAGTGAAGTTGATATGCCCTAGGCGATCATGCCATAACTTTATTGATGATTTGCAAGCTAAATTACATTCTACAATAGGCTTAACTCTAAATTTCATGATCCACAGATTATCTCTACGTACTCCAACACATGAAATGTTTCCATTTGGCTCTAGAAATTGACACCTGTTTTTATGAGAATGATAGGTAAAGTTTTTATCTGTCATAGCTCCCACTGAAAATAAGCTGTGACTAAGTTCAGGAATGTATAGGACATTATTTATAGTACGATCATACCACTCACCTTGGACAAATGCCTGTATTTCAATAACACCTTTACCTTCTGCAGGAATCAGCTTGTCGTTTGCTATTCTAACAAACATAGGTTCAGATAGAGATTCTAATTTTGAAAACAACAATTTTTCACCAGTCATGTGTAGGCTTGCTCCTGAATCACATATCCACTCACTTTTATTTACACTGGAGGTTGACAAGTACATGGAAGAAATATCACATATATAAGCTGAACTTGATGCTATATTACTTGCTGATGACTTGTTTTTATCTTCATTTTTGGAATCATGTATTCTCTTTCTACACTCTCTAACCCAATGTCCCTTGCGTTTACAATAATTACAGGTGGAATTCTTCTTTAAGTCCTGTATATTTGTTTTCTTTTTACTGGTGGCTTCCAGTTTACTTTGTAAAGCCTCTACTTGTAAAGCAAGACGAGATATTTCAGAGTCATCATTATTCATTCTAGTTTCTTCTTTAAGCAATCTTGCTGCTAAATTTTCAAAAGTTTGCTGATCACTAGCTACAGAGTCCCAGGCTGTACGAAAGGCATTAAATCTAGGAGGCAAACTATTAATTACTTTGGAACAAACAGCACTATTACTAATAGTTTCTTTAACATCTTTTAACTGTCTAACTAATAATTCTATTGTTGATATATGCTCTGCAACTTTTGCATTCTCATGCATTTTATATTCATAAAATTTTTGCCATAGCAACTCTCTAGATATTTCTGTCTTTTGTTCGTGTATTGTGATCAGTCTTGACCACATTTCTGAAGCATTTTCGCAATTTATCAAATGTTGTATTTGATCTTGACATATAGTAGATAACAAAATTACCTGTGCTTTTGAATTTTTGTCATCCCATTCTTTCCAGTCACTGCTAGTGTGGTCTTCTGGTTCTGTAACTGTTCCATTCACAATTGGAAGCAGCTTCTCTGCTTTAAACAAAATGGTCACACTAAATTTCCATAGTTGAAAATTTGACCCATCAAATTTAGTAATATTCCCAGAATCAATTTTCACAGCTGAGGCCATTTTTGCACTTCACTAAATGTTTATTTTATAATTGTACGACTCGAACGTAACGAAAAATAAACACGGGAAACTCACGACTTAAACGTGAAACAACTTTTACCACATGGACGTATATATTTTACCACGCACCGGTGTGAACGACAGGCTAGTTTTCAAATTTCGTAATACCGTGTCTGGGCAACCATAACCTGATAAATAAAATAACTATACTGTCGAATTGTAAAAGTTTATTAAACAATAATTATTAGCCTGAGAAAACTGAAAATATTAATTAAACATGTGTAACCGTTATTACATATTAGAGAACATTGACATAACCTTAAAAACTTAATTCTTCTTTTTCTTATATCTTGAATATTACATTAGTACGGGAGCTTATATTAACATATAATTCGAATATCTCGGCTGTCTATATTTTCTTTATTAGAACTTGTCTTAGTGGTTCATGTTGTACTTTGTCAAAGGCCTTTTCGAAATCAATAAAGCAGGCGTAAATTTCTTGGTTCATGTCTAAGCATCTCTGTGAGAGAACGTTCATTGCAAACAGAGCCTCCCTTGTACCCAGCCCTTTTCTGAATCCCATCTGAGTGTTACTGATGTCTACGTCTAATTTCCTATAGATCCTATTATGGATTATTTTTAAGAACAGTTTTAGAGCATGACTCATCAAAGCTATCGTACGATATTCGTTGCATTCCTTTGTATTTGCCTTTTTTGGCAGTAGTATAAAGGTCGAACGGAGCCATTCTCTAGGTATTATTCCAGTTCTATATATTGTGTTAAATAGATCTAGGAGTATTTTAATAGATTCATCGTCCATAAGTTTGAGCAGTTCTACGGGAATTTCATCAGGACCGGGGGCCTTACCACTTTTTGCTTGTTTGATTGCATATTCTATTTCTTCTCTGATTATATCAGGCCCTGTATCATCTGTATATTCGTTTGAGATTTCTTGTCTATCTTTGTCATCAAACAGTTGTGATATGTATTCTGTCCATCGGTTCATTTTTTGTTGTAAATCTGTTATAATTATACCATCTGTATCTTTGATCTGTCCTGTCTGTGTTGTTCTTCTCCTTCCTGTCATTTCTTTAATCTTTTTGTGTACATTAAAAAAGTCATATTTTCGCTCCAATTGTTCCAACTCCTGGCATTGCTCACTTAGCCATCTTTCTCTTAGCTTCTCTTATTTTCTTTTTTATCAGTTTATCTGTTTCTTTGTATCTTATCGGATTATTTGTTTTGTGTACCCTTCTTTCACGCATCAACTGTAGTATTTCCTCATTCATCCATTCTTTATGTTTCCTTTCTTTCGGTGTTAAATTTTCTCTCCCTGCCAACATTACGGCATGTTTAATATTCTCCCATTTTTGGTCTATGTTATCAGTATTTCTATTCAGTTTCTCTATATTTTGTAAATTTTCTTTGATGTTCACTATTGTTTTCTCTTTTATATGTTGTTCATTCAGTCTTCTCCACGTTAATTTGTTTCTGTATGTGTTTTTTAATGATTCTTTAGTTTTATTCTTAATGTGACTACTACAGGATTATGATCGAGCCTATATCTGCTCCTGGGTAGGTTTAAATAACTAGTCCGAGTAAACATTGAACAATGTTGGCGACAAAATGCAACTTGTCTGACTCCTCGTTGTATAGAGATTTCATCGGTGTAGTTATCTTCAATTTTTACGATAACAGTTTGATTCCAGTAAAAATTTTTAATGACTACGAATATCCTTGTCATCTATTCCGATATTTTTCAGTATTTGCATTAATTTTACATGCTGTACTTTATCGGATGCCTTTTTGAAGTCCACGAAACATGAAAATACACCTTTTTTTTTGGTCACGTCATTTTTGTAATAGGATGTTAAGCGCAAAAGTGCCTCCCTGGTTCCCATAGCATTTCTAAAAACCAAATTGGGTATCTGTTGTGAATTATTGTGAGGAAAATTTTAAGAGTGTTGCTCATTGGGCTAAGAATCAATATTTTGAGCATTTTCTCGCATTGTGTTTTTTAGGTATTGCGACAGAGATGGATTTGAGCCAATCTGCGGGAATCACTCCGGTATTGAAATATATTGAATTAAAATAAAAAGTCTTACTACTACTTTTATGTTATCATTCTCTATTAGTTTCAGCAACTCATTTGGTGTATCATCTGGACCACAAGCTTTTCTAATTTTAGCATTATTTAAAGCGTGTTTCATTGGTTCATCACAAGTTCATTGGTTTTTGGTTTTTGTCGCTGAATTCGTTTTAACCTAAGTGCTTAGTTTAATATCTGCTACGACTGGTTGATGATCAGATCCAATATCTGCACCACGATATGTAGTGACTTTTTTGACGGCATTTCGGAAACGCTTATTTACAAGTATATAGTCTATTTGATTTCTTGAAGACTCAGGGTTATTGCCATCATCAAATGGGGCTTTCCAAGTCTATAGTCGTCGCTTGGGTAGTTTATACCAGGTGTAAAGATTAAATAGAGCATTCTTAAGACTATCTAAAGAACTACTCATTAGCAAAATTGGAGGATACGCTTAAATTTATGCACATTTATGAAATAACAATCAGAATGCCCACTCTCAGATGCCGTCTTAGTGGGAAGTGTTGAAGTGTGTCCGCGACGCGATCGCCATATTTTAAACGGAAACATACTCGGATTGAGAAATTTGTGACCAGCTACGATAGAATTGGCAATTTAAATTTTAAGAGAATTAATAATTTAGTAAATTTTAAATAATTTAATCTATTCTTCAACCAAAGTGCATATTATGTCTTTAGTTGCCGTAAATAAATTAAACCGGGTTAATTTTTCTATGCACACCAGATAAAATGTCACTGAGCAGCACTGGTTCCGTTTAAAACATGGCTGATTTCGTCTGCGCGAATGAGATGCGCCTACTTATCTTGACATAGTGATGGGACTATCGATTACTTTATACTATCGACTAGCGAATAGTCGACTACTTTTAAATATTGATTAGTCTAGTCGACTAGTCGAGGGTAGGCGTGGTCAGCTGTCACCTGTCACTGTCAGTCTCAGTTTGTGTTTTCAAAACACTGTTTTGCTTAATGGGGACAACGTAACGATGTAAAAATACTCAGTATAGAACCTATGAATAAAATACTTCAGTCCAAAGTAGTCGCTAACACTAGCCTACTTGAACCGACCATAGCCGACTCTTGGTTTCTGGAATGCTTTCTCTTGATTTTGTGAATGAATTTATTGATTTACCTTCTATTCTAGAACTAGTAGTTTGTCGTTTAACCGTGTACAATCGACTAGTCAAAACAATCGACTAGTCAATAGTCTTGAGTACTAATCTTTGCTTTAAGTGGTATGTTTATTTTACCTATAAGTATAGTTTTGCCAATATCTTGCTATATATTTTTTTATATAATTTAATTTTCATTCTCTAGGTAGCTGAGCAACTGGAAGCAATCAAAGCCAGTAGTGGTCTTCAATTTGGCTCTCAAACTAGACCAGATGTACCAAGTACATCAAAACAACCAATTCAAAAACCTCAAATACGAAGGTCTTACGCCAAGAAAGATTTCAAACCCAAACCTCCAGTGGTCACTACTATAAGTGAGACACCGCCATGTGCCCCACCTCCCCTTACGGTTTCAAAGAAACAGACTGTTCCGGCTCCAGAACCGAAAAAAGTTGTACAGGTTCAAGAAGAGCCTCCAGTCCAAGTGGAACGTCCTTTGCAGCAGATGATCCTCGAACAACCGGACGGCACTATACGAACCATCACCGAGGGAGAGATAATTGGTTTTCCAAGTGAAAATATCAGTGGTGAAACGAACAGCTATGTTTTCATGACTTTGGACTCTACTGGTAATTTAACACCTGTGAGCAATGAGGTTCTTAGGAAGTTAAATCCCAATCTAGCTGTAGATGGAGATCTGAATAACTATGTATTACAAATAGGATCTGCAGACAACGGAGAAGGCAACCAATTAGCAGCACTGGGTCAGCCTGCTGCTGTAAAAAGTTCTAATCCAATTGAACAATTATCAACCGGTGAGTTATTTTCATATATTACTTTTGAATCTGGTAATTGAATCTTTGATCCGAATCTCCTCATTTAGTTTGTAGATTGTAGATAAAGTGGTTTATCTATGTCTTTCTAACGACAACCTGGAAAATCTTTTGTGTACACCCTACAATAAGGTTTGCGTCTTTCGGATGTTTTAGCGCCTCTGTTGAGCCTCTCTTGGTTTGAAGCCTTGTTTCAACAGCTCAATGACCGCTTGCTGGACCTTACTCAGCCCCATTGCGGTTTTGCTGACTAATTTTCGGCAGTTCTTTTTCATCTATGAAAGTATGGCAAGTATGTAACAGAATCCTGTTCCATAGTTTCCGGATAACTAAGGCTGCGTTGTTTGTTCCTGTTCCATTCTTGGCACACGAAAAGCTAGGAAGGTCATACTGATAGTCACACTCCAGCACGACAACGTCGCATGACTCTTGGAGGAGACTCCTTATCCCTTCCATTTTTTCTTTGGGATGTAAAGAATTCTATTTTTACGCGCATCCACTTTACATTTTAATCTGTTTTACTTACAATGTTCCAAGATTGGCGAAGAATGCCAACAAGTAATAAATAGCAAAAATATAGCTAGACAGAAATGTCTAGAAAGGGATTCCCAATTGAATAGAAGAGCATATGAAGAACTCAGAAAAGATGCAAAGAAAATATGTAGAAGGAAAAAGAGAGAAAGGTTGAATAGAAAAATACAACAAATTATAGATTATAATAACAGAAACGAGACTAGAAAATTGTATAAGGAAACCGAGCAATACACCCAAGGATACATGACAAGATCAACAGTTTGTAAGGACAAAAATGAATCAATTATCAGAGAGAAAGAGGAAATAATGAAAAGGTGGAAGGAGCAGTTTCAAGAGCTCTTACACTCAGAAAAATAACAAAATGAAGATGAAGAATTAATTCGACAACGAATGCCTCTGGAGGGTTTCAAAGCTATGGTGAGAATAGATGAGATATGACGTAGACCTTTGATATTGAAAATGGAGAAACAGAACAAGAGGAAGGTCCCGTAAAATGGATAGACGACGTAGAGAGGGATCTTAAAACCATGAACTTCACGCAGTGGCGAAGGAAAGTATCCGACAGGGCAGAATGCAAGAACATTGCTGAGCGGGCCAAGGTAACAAAGGGTTGTTGTAGCGCCATTAGAAGAAGAATAAGAGGTCACCCTTCTCGAGATATTTTTTAATTGGCCGTTTATCTGCTGCACCCTGTATATTATATCAGGATCCCTATCATAAAAACTGCCCTATCATCCAGCGGATTGTTCTAAAAAAATATATTGCAAAGAAATTTTTTTCTTTGTCTCCAATGTACGAGGTTTCTCACACCTCGTACATCTTCCACTTCGTTATTTTTTTACTTTGTATTTTGATTTATTCCTCATTAAACATATAAAGTACTATTTTATTTTTTCAGGTGCTCCCAAAGTGGACAATGGAAAGACCGAGCTTCCTTTGACCCTTCCCATGACTATTGAACAACAACTTCCGATAACGATTGAACCACAGCGACCACTGTCGCAATCATTACATGTACCATTACCAGAAACACCCGTCATCAATATGGAGGTTGCTAGCTCAAACGGCGATCAACCGCAACATATACTTGTATCAGGCGACAGCTTAGCTGCCCAAAAGTTTTTAGAATCTCTTAGCGGTACTACCGATTTAGCCACTTTAATAGCAAATGCCGATGGTAAGAGCATTCTAATACAAACCGATAATCAGCAGATTCTGATTAATACAAGTACAGATCATCAGATGTTGTCAAATGTACCGGAAAATACAGAAAGTGGAAGAAATCCAATTTTTGCAACGCATTCCAATAAAACGGACATATTAGCCGCAGCTTTGGCAGATACAGATGTTTTTTCAACACAGCCAAGCAGAGGTGCACAACTAAGTCCTAACCATGCCCTCTATCCAATAAACGTGAGTAATGTTTTGGAAACAAGTCTTACTTAAGTTCACCTATAATGACACCTTTAGAAGTACCAAGTACAAATAACAAAAAGATTTCTGACGAAGAAGCTGATATTTTGACTCAAGTACCGAAAAACGTGGATCTTCCGATTACGATAACAGATCCGAATATTTCTCAAACAGTGGCGAATCAACAGGCAGCATTAATGGGTAATGAATTTCAGTCCAATTTGGAACTGGGTTTAGCCATAGCAGAAACAACAATTTCGTCGGTAACTACTGGATTAACTAGTCCCAGCTACAGTTTTTCTTTGCCATCTTTAGACGAAAATGACATTTCTCACAAACCTTTTAACAGTAGCATGCCTTTACTGAATGATGACGCAGAAGACACGAATCTCCCTCATAAAAAGTCAAACAAACACGTGGACAAAAGTAATCTTAACTCGGAGGATTATTTGGAACAAAGTCGATACACCCTTGGAGGCACAATGTGCGATTCTTTAAGTGAACCACCACCAGAAATGTTCGAAATGCCAGAAGTCAACTCATACAACGAGAGAAACGGCAACAACATTCCTCTATATCTTCAGAACACGCCTGAATCCAAAGACGACGATGGGAATAGATGCGTCGATTCAAGCAGAAAGTTCTAGCGAAGGCTCGTGCGAGATTCCTTTGCAGCCGAAAATTGTTGCCAAGTCTGTAGATTTGTCGGAAGAGTCCGATTTGTAATTGTAAAGTTCTACTTTTAGAAAGTGCAGGTTCCTAATTTCTGTAGGTAATTTATCAAGTGATAGTAGATCGTAATAGATTTTTGGTTGAAAGGTGTGTACTTGTGGCATCTAAAATTCATAATTTTCTTCTAAAAGCGTATGAAATTGGATATGAAAAATAAAAAGTTTTCACGTCGGAGCTCAACGTTTGCATTCAGAAATCTATTATGTTGTAATTTATCGGTCTTTAAAATCTTTACAACGTCAGAGGGAAAAATCCCAGTGGTTGGCTCTATACTATAGTTTAAAAAAACTTACAGAGATAAATTATACCATCATATACCAAAAGTCTTAACTTCTCTGGAAGTTTTTTTAAACAACTTGATTACAAATTCTATCCAAACATAATATTGGTATGTTTTTTTTATAAAAAAATGGAACTCTGCTATACATAGTATATTTTAACATTCCTATGTGGAATGTATTATAGTATTATTTGATATTTAATATCAAATATATAGTGTGGCTGACATAATTAATGTTAATGTTATGAAATCTTTTTAAAATCTTGAATATGTTGCCTGTATGAGTGCATTTCAAATAGGTAAAAATAAATATGAATAAGACTTCTCACAATCAATTTATTCTACCACCAACGATCGGTTTTCCATGCTATAATTTGCTATACATCTTCAGGTCAACTGTAAATGGTAAACTAAATGCTGAAAATATAATAACCCGTATTAAGGTGCTGTCTGGTATAGAATATACAGTAATTATGCCAATACATTGAAACCTGGATAATTCGAATCTCAGGGGACCGTTAAAAAAATTCGAATTATCCAAATATTCGTATTAAAAATATATTTACAAAAAACAGTGATACTTGTGATACAGTGATACATGACCTGGTCCTTAGGCTTTAGAACTGAAGTCATGTTCGCTGGAAAAAAAAATTTCCATTAACATTTATATTTTCCATTAGTGTAATAGTGTTGTAGACCGTACAGTTGTCAATAAACAAACTACCTTTGCTAACGCTGCTCACATATTCCACTAGTTTTGACTTGGCATTCTTAAAACAACGCAGATTAGCACCAATCATCAGCAGAGGCAGCACTTTTGAGCCGTTCATTTTTGCAGCAATTAGGAGAGTGACTCTTTTTTTGCTTATTTTTCCTCCGTGACATTTTTCATTTTAAATGCCAGTGTTTTGGCAGGAGTGCATTTAAAAAAAGACCCGTCTCGTCAACATTGAAGATTTCTCTTTTATCTATATCCTGAATCATCTTCTCCAATTTTTTTTCCATTTGTTGGCTTCTTGCTGATTAACGGCTCCACTTTCTCCACAAATCGATTTGAATGAAATTTTTTTGCATTTTTTGAAGCCGTCTAGCCACCCTGTACTCGCCTCCAAGTGTTTTTCTCCATTTCAACAACAAATTGTTAACTTTGCTTCGTATAAGGGGACCACTTACGGTAATCTCCTTATCCCTGGCTTGTTTGAACCATTTTAAAACACATTTGGATTTTCTGGCTCCCGTAACCATTTTCGTTCTTTACCGCACACTTTCACTCTTGAGATTTTTTCTTTATTCTTCAACTACGTATATCCCCTACTTGAAGAAGTAGGTGTGAATTATTATGTGTTAAGAGGAATTCCAAATTCCTTGACAGTCTCAGATTTTTTTTCGTTCCATTTTCTACTTGTTAATTGCCCGTATTTTTCCGATAACGTCAAAGTTTTGTATGTTCCGAGTTGACTGAAAGGTGGGGAGAATTTATGGTCTGTACTATGCACAATGATCTTGAATGTCTTGAAACAAGTGGCACGTGAGGACAGGAAAGAATACTACATCTTTTTGCGGAAATTTCCAGCATGAAATTGGCATTTTAGCTTGTAGAGAAGTTCGAATTATCCAAAATTGAATTCGAATTATTACTTTATACCATTACTTATATAGGAAATGCTAGGGACCAGAATAAAAATTCGAATTAAAGAAGATTTCGAATTAGAGAAGTTCGAATTCAGCAGGTTCCATTGTATTATATGTGTGTGATTATTAACACGTTCTCTGGCATGTTGGTCCGATGAGACCATCGTTGATGTTGCTTCAGTAGGCCACAAGTTGGTCCCATTGGAATACGCTCCCATTTGATCAGATAAGTCTACTACCACATTGCCTTTATTGTAATCTATTACCACCTTGGGTTTCAGTTTAGTTTGTCGATTACAAGATACTTCGACCATTTATTTGTCGTGTTTAGTAGAAAGCATGTAAATATTTCTTTTGTCTTTCCAGTTCGTAATAGTCACTCCATCATAATTTTCCATAGAAGCAAGCTACCCTTTATTTACTTTTGCAGCTACTACTTCTTGGGGTAAATATTTTCGATTTTTTCGAACAGTTCCTATCAGGTGTGTATCGACGGACATTTTTTTGCTAGCGGTAAATTGTATACCAATTGTCGGTTATCAGCGTTCTTCCTTGATGTACTAAATCCTCCATAAGATACAGTACAACGCTTTCTGGAGTGACGTTAGAACTATTTTTTTCCCTGCATATACTTTGAAATTGTAAGTATATCCAGATCCAGAACATACTTTAATTTTTACACCATATTTGTGTCTTTTTGACTTAATGTACTGTTTAAACCCAAGCGTCCCCTAAAGGGTAATAGGGTTTCATCGATACAGACATATTCTCCCGGCACTTATAAAGACTTACAATTTGCAGTCAGAATGTCGACAAGTAGCTTTAACTTATACAGTTTATCATTTGTATCTGCCAATAAATTATCATTAAAGTGAAACATCCTTAACAGCATCTCGAATCGATTTCTAAACATTACATTCTTCGCAAAATTATTATGGAACAGGGTATCGTTACTCCAGTAGTCAGCGATTTTCGGCATTTTCACTAAACCCATCCAGGCAACCAGTCCTAAAAATTTTGTAATTTCAATATTATTTGTCGTTGGAATCCAGTTATGTAAGCGAAAGCTTGGTGTTGCGTCTGCAGCCAGTACAGACTGAGTTGCATATATATTTGTTTGGTTACAAATAAGACTAATATACTTCAACTGAGGCGTATATCTGTATTATGTGTATTTTTTCTTTGATTTCTAAGCTTACTGTAATTATTCTTGGCGAAATTGCTTCATAGTTTAAATTTTGTCTGCCTTTATTTTCGTTACAAAACAATTTATACATTTAGTACCGTTTAGTGTTAACGTCAGTGCTCTTATTGGTCCTGGTAATTGACATGTAGATATTTCAATGTTCTACTTATGTGCAACATTTTCAAGTATTTTAATTTTTGTAATGCAAAATAAATTTCTGTAGTTTAATGCATTCCTTCGTACTTACCCCTTGTTATGTTTTCTTCGGTCTGTGATTCATGAAAACATGGGATGAGAAGGAATCACATTCGAAGAATAGCTCAAGCTTGTTAAGCCAAGGACACAAATCTTCGAAAAGTATGCCTCTGGTATGTACGGTGGGCGTACTCATTTTCTCAAACAAACTAGTTTGTTCACAAAATTTATCTTCAGCTATAGCCCTTAGTACCTGTCAGACGAAGCGACTGATGTCGGACACCGGTGGTCAATTGTAGTAAAGCATTGTTTTACACGAAAGATTACAGTCGAGCAACTTTTAGTGTCTGGCTTCTTTTAGCGGCTCAGTAGTCGTAACATCATGTGTGTTCACTTTTGCCAGCAGGCTGGCCACCGGATTTTTTTATCAGAGTATTGTTTTGAATCGAAGCGTTCACACGAGCCACTTTAAGTGTCTTGTTTTTTGTTTTATTTTAATAATTTGTTAAATGTTAAGTATACTTCGTCTAATTTACTTACCGATGCACGTCATTATCATTGACAGAGATCGAAGTTGACATAGTTGCCAAAGTATAAAAAAATCCTGACCCCATTTTAAATCAAATAGGTCACATAATTATTGCAAAAGTATTACTATCTCTTTACAACGACTATAATAAAGTAATAAATAAAACACACTAACTTTTGTTCTAAAAAGCACATATTTTATTAAATGGGTAAAAAATATAAAACAAGAGGTATTCACTTTAAAATTCAAAATAATAAAGTACAAAAAGTGTCAACACCGCAACTGTCAAATAAGTGTTACCAATTTATGTCAAAATTTCACCTTCGTTCGATTAGTTACAGTGTGTTCCGAACAAATGTTCTTCATAAAAACGCTTTATAATGCATTTATACAAATTAAATGAAACATATTATTCTGTATTTCTTTAAGTTAACATTAATAGAAATCTTTCAATATTATTTCTGCGCGTATATAATAAAATATGTCTAGTGGCTGTAATGCCAGTGTACTCGGCAAAGTGATTCTAAAAAAGAACACACCTATCGCCTAAATATTTCTGTGTTGGTATCATGTGACGTCACGGGCTATGACGCCGATGACGTGCTTCAATATGTAAATTGATGAAGTATATGTAAGTTAATGTGGATTTCAATACGGAAGATTTAATTACTGCTGTTGAAGAGAAACTAGTTCTTTGTGACTATAAATTAGAACAATATAAAGAAAATATTGCCACAGATGATCATAAGCAGATGCGACAGCTAAGCGATTAGTTCGGTGCATAAATTGGTTACCTTTAAACTGACGTAACATCTTTGTTTGCACCAATATTGCAAAATAGCTCATTTGGTCTATAATAGTTATAGACCAAATGGGTATATATACAGATTTGTTTCAATCTTTACTATATTTACCCTTAAAATTAAGACGCGTTTCACACGGTGATTATATCAAACAAAAAAGTAGCTTTAAAGAGTTCAGAAAATAAATATAATAGGTAAATTGTAAATTCCAGATATGTCCTCACAATCCTTATATGACAATCTTTAAAGATTCATAAATATATGGTCATTTAATGAATTTATAATCAAGTTGTAGTTGGAATCAAGCATGGATATAGCGGTATTTATATTTTTTGTAACATAGGTTCGAAAATATTAGGTTTGATATTA